CCTCGCCTTCCTCCATCTAACGTGGCTGATTCATTTCATTGGACTCTGTTGTTTTTGCCTTTAAACCAGAGAAATGAACCTCATGGGAACCAATCTAGAAGGATGATAGAGTTCAATGTGTTACCGACGGGTCTGATGGGAAGGGAAAATTCCTGGTGCAGGAACACTCAATTCCCAAAGAACTTTGATCTCCAAAAGCAAGATGTGTTAAAGGCACTCTCAAAACAAATTTTAAAAATTAATGAACAGGGGCAACATGATGGCATAACAGGTCAACCATCCAGTTGCCATCACAGGTATTCTGTATGGGCACTAGTTTGTGTCCCTGCTGCTCCATTTCTTGATCCAGCTCCCTGGTTATAGCCTGGGGTAACAGTAAAAGGTAGGTCAAGTCCTTGAGTTCCTACATCCATGTGGGAGATCCAAAGGAGGTTTCTGGCTCCTGGCTTTGGACCAGCCAGCTCTGGCTGCTACAGCCATTTGGAGAGTGAACCAGTAGATGGAAGATCCATCTGTCTCTCTCTGTAACTCTGATTTCCTAAGTAAAATAAACAGATTTTTTAAAATTAATGAACAGTTTTACTCACTCCTGTTAATTAAAATTTAATTTTCTTATCAATAAAGACTGTAGGCAGATTTGTCCCCATGTTCTATTTTAGATTGTGTAGGGTTGTGTACTGCCTTTTTCCTACTGTTCCCACACAAAATCTGAGCTTTGTCACTCATATCCTTGTCACAGATTCACATCCTGTTGACTTTCTTAAAGTCAATAAGACTTCAAGAAAAGTAATACTTTGCTCTGAGTACACAAAACAGTGCTTTGATTGATAGGAGTCAGTATGGGTGTGCTCAGCTCAGCTCATGGGAACCCACTTTCACATGTACCCTGGCCTCCCACGGTCTCTTCTTCTTGTCCCAGCTTGGAGAAGAGCTGGTCAGATAAACCCCACCTCTTTTTTTTTTTAAAGATTTATTTATTTTTATTGGAAAGACTGATCTACACAGAGAAGGAGAAACAGACAGAAAGCTCTTCCATCCACTGGTTCGCTCCCCAAATGGCCCCAATAGCCAGGGATGAGTTGATCTGAAGTCAAGAGCCAGGAGCTTCCCCTAGGCCTTCTACATGCGGCCAGGGTGCCAAAGACTTAGGCCATCCTCTACTGCTTTCCCAGGTTACGAGCACAGAGCTAGATAGGAAGTGGAGCAGCAAGGACCTGAAACAGTGCCCATATGGAATGCCAGTGCTTGGCGGTGGAGGATTAGCCAATTGAGCTATTGTGCCGCCCCAGGTAGAGCACTTTCGAATTCTTTTCTTTTTTTTAAGATTTATTTATTTTCCTATTGGAAATTCAGATTTACAGAGAGAAAAGGTCTTCTGTCTGCTGGTTCACTCCCCAAGTGGCCACAATGGCCAGAGCTGAGCTGATCAGAAACCATGAGCCAAGAACTTCTTCCAGATCTCCTACATGGGTGCGAGGTCCTGAGGCTTTGGTCCGTCCTCAACTGCTTTCCCAGGCCACAAGCAGGGAGCTGGATGGGAAGTGGAGCAGGGGATACGAACCAGTGCCCATATGGAATCCAAGCGCATGTGTAAGGCTAGGACTTTATCCACTAGGCTACTGCACTGGATCTATGCTTTCAATTTTAAAAAGTAGCTCTCTGTAAGACAAAGATGAGGCTTCCAAACATGTCCTCTGTCCTGGGTGATGTCACCAACCCAGACATGGAGTGTTAGCTCTTGGATGGGGTTTTGGGAATGCTGTTCAGTAAATATTTTAATTTTAGGGCCTTTCCAACCATGAAAGGCCACTCAAGTTTCTAATTAGAAAATAATATTTTCTAAAGAATATATGATTGGTTTAATATCCTAAAATTAAAAAAAAAACTTAAGTGACTATCATATAAATCAAACAGCCAGCTTGCAAGTAATTTCATTTAGTTATAAGAACTTGTCCCTTTAAAAAGGCCTCCACAAGCATTGTTTAGTTCTTGAAAGGTCCCTAGTCATTAGGTGGTCATGGCGATAGAGGCTGACCCCTGGGGTGAGCATGGATAAGAGAGACTGACCAACAGAGTGGTCATAGGTGATAAAAACTGACCAACTGCAATCTTGCCAATTGTTCATAGAATCCATGGCCTATTCCTAGAATTGTAGCCAAAATCCTGTATAAACTATGTTAAATGTATGGTCAGCGTCCTGGTCAAGACTCCATTGCGTTGGGTGAGACTTGGACCCTAGCGTGCTAGCAATAAAGTTCCTTGGCTTTTGCATGATCTCATGTGGAACTCCTCTATTCAAGGTGGTGGGATAAATGCCAGACCCAGCAGCGGCAGGCACCAACTGGCACTCATGTAAGATGACAGCCTTCCAGGTAACAGCTTGACCCGATGCCAGCTGCTGCCAAACAACTCATTTTGAAGAGAGCCGCTCTTGCTTTCTGGTATGAGTAGGTGTTGAATCAGAGATCACTTTTAGTCATGCAGAGAACTGGACCAAGATCCTGCTCAGCGTGCTATTTACTATTGTAGGGTGGCCAAGAATGTGTTTTTTTGCCCTACCCCTTTTTAAAGTGACAGCATGTCTTTTTTATCCTGAAGTTGATACTCTCTTGAACAAGAAAGTAAGACAGAACAACTGGGTAGAGTGTGCAGGTGGGCATCTCATGTAGTGGTCAGGGCATGCACGGGGGGGATGATGTTTCAGAGACGAATGGTGATGATCATCATGAAAATATTTGCAGAAGATGCATATGTGACAGCAGAAACAACAGGTTCAAACACTACTGAGGGGAAGATAAGCTTGGCAAGAGTGAAACAGCATCACTGTGACCAGTGGATAGAGTGAAGGGAGGGCTACTGGATCCTTCTTAAAGGGCCATGAGGACAAAAGCGCAGCTGGATTCTAGCCACAGTGGAAAGCCACAGCAATTGAAGGCAGCTGAGTTATCCGATGGGTCATCTGAAGTTCTCACTCTAGGGGTGGTCTAAAAAGCAGAATGTAGATGGGCCTTACATTTATGGGAACTGCAAGACCATTAAGAGCATATTCCTGTGGAATTCACTCAAAATGGGATTTGGAAGTAGAATCAGTAGGATTTGTTGTTGATGGATATTAGTACTAATAAAAACAAGGGGGCAGGTGTTAGGTGCAATGGTTATGGTTATGTTGGTGCTTGGGATGCCCCAACTGTGCCTTCCTGCTAATGTGGACTCTAGGGGCAGCTGGTGATGGCCCAAGTGTTTGGGTCCTTGCCACCTATATGGATGACCCAGATGGAATTCCAGGCTCGTGGCTCAATTCCACGCTATTGTGAGAATTGGGGGAGAGAATCAACACATAAAAAAATCTCTCTCAGGCTTGGTGCAGTAGCCTAGTGGCTAAAGTCCTAGCCTTGCATGCGCTGGGATTCCATATGGGCACTGGTTCATATCCCCTGCTCCACTTCCCATCCAGCTCCCTGCTTGTGGCCTGGGAAAGCAGTTGAGGACGGCCCAGAGCCTCAGGACCTTGCACCCATGTGGGAGATCTGGAAGAAGTTCTTGGCTCATGGTTTCTGATCAGCTCAGCTCTGGCCATTGTGGCCACTTGGGGAGTGAACCAGCAGACAGAAGATCTTTTTTTTTTTTTTTCTCGCTCCTTCTGTCTATAAATCTGAATTTCCAATAGGAAAATAAATAAATCTTAAAAAAAAACCTCTCTCTTTTTCTCTGCCTTTCAAATAAAAATGAAGATAAACAAATTTTAAAAAGGATAATACATACATCTCTCTCAATATATAATATATAATATTATATATAATATATATATAATGTGCTGTTCCAGAGCAGAATATTGCAGCCAGATAACCTATACTATAGGATTTCACAATGTCATGTGAGTTCACTAAATTAAGGAAGTATAAGCACAAAGTTCAAACTTTCCCGCTCAAAGAGCAACCAGAAACCAGTTTTAGCCAATCCGAAGAAGAAAATGTGCTCCTTTTCTGGAAATGAAGAAGAAGTTGGAGGCAGTGTTCTGGGAATGGCTTCAAGCCTGAACCCTGTTCCTGAGGCTTCCTGTCCAACAGGTTCAGCAGTGACTGGATAAGGTCATTTCCTATCGGAATTAGCCAAAGGTCATGGGGAAGCCCGGACCAGACATGAGAACAGAGAGCTGTGAGTGAAGCTGGGATATTCCTTTAACAAAGTACAACCAGGGAAAAGCCTTGCAGGTTGTGGCTCTGGCATTGAAGGGTGTGGACACCAGCTTTGGGCAATGAATCATTTTATTTCCTTACAGAATATGGCAGAGTGAGAGTAATTGGAAAGTGCTGGCTCAATGTATGGCTGTACTTGAACGTGCCAGAGGAATATCACTTCTTTTTAAAAACTATCAAATTAACAAAAACAGAATGCAATGATAGTAATTAAAAAAAAAAAAAAACAGCAGCAATAGTAAAATGAAGACTTAAAATTACCAAACACTATCTTGGTCATTCACCTATGCCAGCACGTTCAGATTTGCCAATCATCATGCCATCTGTCTTAAAGAGGTGGGGACTGAGGCATGGAGCTTAGATAACTTGAAGTGCGCTCGACAATGGAGAACGTCTCATATAGACCCAAGAGGAGAGAAACCATGGGTACAAAAGAGAAGAAAAGAAAAGAAAAGAAAAGAAAAGAAAACCTTAGCAATATCATTCATGATAAGAAACGGAGGCAATCCAAAGAAATGTTTCTGAATTTTGAAGAAATAAACAAAATTTTTGTACACTGAGATATTACTTCACCACAGGAAGGGCAATACTACTACATAGTAAAACCTGAGTGAATGCTGAAAGTATTTTTTTCAGTTGGAGATAGATGCAAAAAAAGGCCATGTATAGTGGGCTTGTCTTTCTATGAAATATCCAAAATAATAAAATACTGGTAGGCCCGAGAAGAAATGGATCTGAGTAACTCTGATCACATGTTTTGTTTTTTTTTTCCTCTTTCCTGGTCCCACCCATCTGTCACTTTCAAGATGATCATTGTACAAGGCTTTGCCATTCTGCGGTTCTGAGATGGCCTGGTGTACGCTGCCATCTCCCGTCCACGCACGTCTCGCGGCTTCCTGGGTGCTTTAAGCCCAGGGATGCGCTGATTGGCCGAGCCCGTCACCCAGTGTTCGGCGGCTCTGCAGGGACAAGGCACGGGCTCTGGGAGCCGGAGTCTGCAGGCCTTCTCTCTGCGATCGCCTGGTCACTGCTGCCCAGTGAGTGAGCGCCGGCCGCGGGCGGGGAGGGGAGGGCGGGCCGGCGCGGCGTGAGCGCCAGCTGTCCACCCCGGATTGTCCGTGAGAGTCTTCGGATCACGGTCGCTGGGGATCGCTACCACCGAGTCCGGGAAGGGCGGGCAGGGCCAGTCAGCATTCCAAGGCCAGCCTGGGGAATGTCCCAATGATTGCGATTGAAAGCAATGCCGGAGGGTGGAGCTAACGACAGAAAACTCCCCCGGAAGCTGCGGTCTTCGCCCTGGAATTTGCATGAGGGGAAATGGCCTAGCTCGAGTGGAATCCAGTTTACTGAAATGGTTCTGAGTGTGTGAGGGGATTAAAAAATCCAGGTGATGTGTCCTTTGATCCGGAAATGAGTTTAGAGCACGTCATTATTACTTTAGGCACCATAGCAATTCAATCTAGATTTCTCAGGGGTAACCAGGGGAAAGTGGCTTTCATTTGCAGCGCCAACTCTGCTCCCCAGAAATATGAGGGTACTTTACCATATTTTCCACGAACTTTGTGTGAAGACACTTTCCTGCATGAATTTCGTCAACTTGGCAGGGCCAAAATCAGATTTACTTTTCATTTCGTTTTCCCATGAACTTTTTGAAGTGCCCTTGATAAAACTGTCATAGCAACCTACAGCACAGATGAGGCCAAGATGTTACAGCCAGGAGCCCTTCCAAGGTCTCAAGGGTCACCAGGGGGACCCTCTGCCCTCTAGGCTCCCAGTGTGAATTACCAGCGACAAGTCTGTTGCCTGAGATAAAGTGTTTCTTGCCAGGATGGTTCTCATGATCAGGGCGGGGCCAGGCGGAAGCCAGGAGCCAGGAAGACCCCACCAGGGTCTCCCACCTAGGTGGCAGAGCCCCCAAACACTAGCGCCAACTTGTGCTGCTTTCCCAGGTCATTAGCAGGGAGCTGGATGGGAAGTGGAGCAGCTGGGTCAGGCAGGAATGGGTCCCCATGGCAGGCTTTGCAAGGCAGTGGTTTTACTTAAGCTGCAACACTCGAATTTTTGCAAGACTTTACCTTACACAAATGAGTGAAACCCAAGTTATTGCTAGTGTAAGACTGCTGATGTTCTGATGTATATTTTTGTGAGCAGGAACGGAAAAGCTGAGAGGGTTGGGTTTACTTTGAGGAATACTTGGACCTAGGGAAATGGCTTTGTGAGGGAGAGGGCAAAGTTGACAAGGTGTGGTGTTCCATAGGGTGACTGTTCTCTCTGCCAACCGATTACTAACACAGATTCAAGGCACCAAGAAGGAGGTAAGTCTGAATCCTAACTTTCTAGACAGTTCTACTTCTCCCCATGATTGCTGCTCCCCATTGAAAGCGCACGTTACCCTCTTCCAAATAAGAGCACCCCAAGGAACAGCAGCTCCTTGATGTGCAGGCTGTGTCCCTGGGGCGGGGTGGCGAGGAGCACAGCTTTCTGCTAGATGCCTGCAGTCAAAGGAATGTCTTACAAGCGGGAGAAAAACAAGTGGTGGTAGGGAGTCTGCGCCAAGCTTTTGCCCTACTCAAGCTTTTTAAAAAATACATCAATTTATTTTATTTTTGATGTTGTTTTACATAGTGGAGAAGCTTGTATACTCATGTGGACCACTGATTAGGGTGGGGAGGGTCGAGGTATGAGGGGAAAGTGCTTGAGACAATTGCTTCCAATTTTTTTCCCCCTGTATTTTGGGGGAGGGGTGAGAGAAAGGGAGAGTGTTGCTCCCAACAGAGTCACCCTGAGATCCCCAATGTGGAGCATGGTTGCTGATTTCATGGCCCCGGGCTTGAGGAAATCATTAACAGCATATGTTACTCTTATCTTGAGCATGGGGGGGTCTGTGAATGCTTGGAAGAAGGGAAAGTTGCTAGGTCTTTCCCTCCCCTCTCTCAGGGAGAGACCTGGAGGGCCTGGCAGTGGGATGGTGGTGAAGGGGCGAGAAAGCTCCCCTCCCACATGTGTTCAGGGCTTGGCCATTTGGAAGCCAACTCTGACTCGGGTTGCCCTGTTCACGGCAGGGTGTGCCATGGGGAAGCCAGAGCAGGAATGAGCCCACGCTGGAAAGTGGGTGAAAAATGGAATTAAAAGGTTCATTGATTTTGCTGCCAAACAACCCAAAAGGAAATCCATGTACATGAAGTCTCCTCAAAAAGCACAGGAAAACATGTGTGTTATATGTGTGTTATGCATGTTATATGTGTATTGTATATGTGTTATACCTATGTGTGTGTTGTGTTAGCTTTGAGCAGGTGTTTCCTGGGCTTTGACCTGGCTCAGCTCTGGCTGCTGCATCTATCTGGGGATGGGATGAACAGATAGAAGATCTCTGTGTCTCTGCTTTTCAAATAAAAATGAAAAATAAATTAAAAATGTAAAAGCAATATTATATATGGATTTCAAAAAATTATTTGCACCCTAGTAGACTTATATTGTAATTTTCATTTCTCATGAACATTTTCAAGTTCACTCATAAGGGAAAAATCTGGCTTGCACCTTCTACTCATTTGGAGCCTCATTAGCAGGTGGTAACCCAATTCCACCTGACACGGCATCCTCTCTTCCGCAGTCCTGTTCTTAGTTAGCCAGAACCCAGGATGGTAATGGTAACAATGGAAGCTCTCCCTGGCCTTCCTCACAGAACACTAATGAATCTGGGCCGTAAAATATGCAGAATGGCTACTCTGTCCTGACATCCCATAACTTATTGCAACAGCCTACTAAAGAGGAAAGTGGCGTGGGCACGGGTTAAAACTCCTGGCTACTCGGCTTCCGGTCTGGCTCCCTGGGAGGCCGCAGTGGATGGCCTGAGCACTTGTATTCCTAACACCCACGTGGGACACCTGGATGGAAATTCCAGGCTCATGGCTTCACTCCCACCACACCCTTTACCCCTTCACCTCCTGCCCCAGGCCCTGATTGTTAAGAGCATCTGGGAAGTGACTGAACCACTTTGCCTTTCAAATAAATCAATACTTAAATAAAAAACATACTGGCCACATTGTCACATACAATAGTTCTATCTTCTGAAAGTGAAAGTAAATAACTGAATAGAGGTCTTAAGAAACAGGTTTTTCGGCCCGGCAGCGTGGCCTAGCAGCTAAAGTCCTCCCCTTGAATGTGCCGGGATCCCATATGGGCACCTGTTCTAATTCTGGCAGCTCCCCTTCCCATCCAGCTCCCTGCTTGTGGCCTGGGAAAGCAGTTGAAGACTGCCCAAAGCTTTGGGACCCTGCACCCACGTGGGAGACCCGAAAGAGGTTCCTGGTTCCCAGCTTCAGACCGGCACAGCACCGGCCATTGCGGCTCACTTGGGGATTGAATCATCGGATGGAAGATCTTCCCCTGTCTCTCCTCCTCTCTGTATACCTGACTTTGTAGTAAAAAATAGATAAATAAATCTTCTTTTAAAAAAAAAAGCAGGTTTTTTTTTCTTTTCTTTCTCTTCATGTTATTCTTCTAGTTTTTTTTTACCCTTTTATTTCTTTCCTTTTTTTAAAAAAAATCAATTTTCTTCAAGATTAATAGTGAGAAGAAAAATTAGGAGATATGAAACTATAAGCTTACAGAGCAAGGCGAGATTCTGGAACTCCTCAAGTTCAGTCAGCTGGTCTTACCTTAAGTCAGAGACATTGGCCACTTAGGCCTGTGGTCACAGGAGTGGCTAAGAGCAATAACGAGACTCCCACAGTGCGTTCCTGGGAATTTTTTCCCCTTACTTTGTCATAAGCGTGTGGTCGCGTAAAGCACACAACATCAGGATGCATGGAGTATCTTGCTCTGAATCTCTTCGCTGTTTGTTTTGCACTTTAGGTCAAGATGGGATTTGTATTTTCAAAATCTGTGAATGAAAACATGAAAAATCAGCAGGAGTTCATGCTCATGAATTCTCGGCTTCAGGTACGTGTGGCAGTGCTGAACGATCGTGTGGCCCCAAGGATTCCGTTGTCACTGTGTGTGTTCCAGCAGTGTGTTTCCTCCGAGTCCTCAGGGAAGGTGATCTTGGCACTCCATCCTCAAAGACAAGACGAAATGGATGAGTCACCATCCGGTGAATGGGTCTGTGTGAATGTCCAGTCCATTCCTGTGGAAAGATCTGCAGACACACAACACAGAATCTGGGACCTGACCCCCCAGGGCCTGTGGCTAGGCTGCCTTCCTGGACAAGAGGGACATTTCAGTGTGACCATTTAAAAGTTCTCATGTGGGGAAACAGATCATCCACTTTAATCACTGGGGGCTTTGTCCTTATAAGAGAAAGAGTGAAGCAGGCATGAGAGAAGGAGAGAGAGGAGGAAAGGAAGGAAAGGACAGGGGAAGAGACAGAAGGAGAAGGAGAGAGAGAAAGAGAGAGAGTGGGGTTTGAAGATGCAATAAGGACCACAAGCCAAGGTGATACTCTTTGCATGAACAGCGCTTGAAGTCGCTGACAAAATGGCCCTTACACTGTTTGTTGTTGCTAAAAAGTGAAAACGGTGTCTTGGGTAAGAGGAACATTTCTTTTTGGGGGGGAAGGGGGTGGAGCAATTGAAAAGATGGGTAAACTAATTATTGTCACAGAGTACTGTGACCAAGGGGAGACCAAATATTAACTGGTATGAATCATTCACAGCCCGGCATGCTGCAGGAGCAGGGGTCGAGGTGGTCTGCTCTTGCCTCCTCCTCCCAGGGGACCGATGGACACGCTGTGACGTGCTGTGTGCTCGCTGCCTTCGTGTCACACTGGGCCAACGCTGGGGACACAACTGCCTTTGTGGTAGTGGGAAGGAGGCTACGCTGCAAAGAGCCAAGGGCAGACCGAGTCTGGCCTTCCTGACTTTCCCAGCTACCGTGTGGGCAGGGCGATTCGGGGTCTCCTGGCACTAACCCATGAGACCAGGGCTTCAAGAACAGCACTGAGCTCTAGCTGCCCAGTGCCAAGGTGTGACACAGCTGAACCAGGGAGGAACCACACTTAGGCACGGAGGGGAACCTCAGTGGATGCAGGGCACTACTGAGTCAGAATATTCTTTTAGGCTGCAAGGTAGGTAATCAAATTTCCCCAAAAGGGTTTGCCACTTCTTCTTTATCAGAACCTGAGATGACACTAGGCCAAAGCCAACCATGCCCCTCAAATACATGGTTTTCATGTGACCAGCAAATGGACTCTTTTCTTGTAGATGTTCTGTCCACGTTGGCCCACTCAACAATGGGAACACCAGACCTGAGGATCAGACAGTCTCTGCATATTTGTTTTTTTAAAAAAGATTTATTTATTTATTTATTATTGGAAAGGCAGATATACAGAGAAGAGGTGAGACAGAGAGGAAAATCTTTTGTCTGTTGATTCACTACCCAAGTGGCCACAATGGCCAGAACTGCCCTCATACAAAGCCAGGAGCCAGGAGCTTCTTCCAAGTCTCCCACATGCGTGCAGGGTCCCAAGGCTTCGGGCCGTCCTCGATTGCTTTCCCAGGCCACGAGCAGGGAGCTGGATGGGAAGCGGGGCTGCTGGGATTAGGACCGGCACCCATATGGGATTCCTGTGCGCATGCAAGGAGAGGACTTTAGCCAAGAGGCTACAGCGCTGGGTCCAACGCATATTCATTTTTATAAGAGATGAGCATCATGTAAATAACTGTCCCCTTTCTAACCAAGGTATGTTATTTGTTGACAGCAATGTCTCCCTCTGAAATATGTGTTGAAATCTTAACTCTTATTTGTGGATAGAGTTTTAATAGACAAAATTAAGTTTAAGAGAGTTATCAGGGTAGCCTTTAAGAAGGAATTGACACCGAAGTAGGCGTTTGGGTGAATATTGTGTTAATGTGAAGTCAGCCATCTACAAGACCAGGAAAGAGACTTGTAACAGATGTGTCCTTTACAGCCAAACTTGCAGACACGCTGCCTTTGGATTTCCAGCCTCCAGAAATGAGGGGGGGAAACATGTTCTGATGCCCAGGTCATCCAGTGACCACAGAATCCCTTAGAAAGCGAATAAAGAGTGTTCTTGTGGTCTGTCCAGCAGGTGGTGCTGATGTAGCAAGAAATTGCTTCATCTTCTTTGCTCTCTGAATTTTGCACTACAAGGGAACACATGAATTTAGCTACACAGTGGTATGCAGGCATAAGATTCGGGGAGGGAAGGTGGGACAGGACCATGCTTTCTTGAATTAGCTCAAGGTTCCCCAAATTCTCCACTTGCACTGGAAACTTTGTTTAAACACAATGCCTTGAATTCTGAATGCAAACCTAGCGGTTTAACCAGAGGGTCTCAGGGGTGAGCCTAGCAGTTCTGGGTGATGGTGCCGTCTCTAAGCAGGGGACAAGGTGCGGGACAGAGCAAGACAGGCAGGGCTTTTACCCTCCTCATTGCAGAATGAATACGGCTTCTTGCCCTGGCCTCTGGAGAGCCCTGCTGGTTGTAGGCATGTTGCTGTTGGCTGTCACAGGTGCCACGGGGGCTGCCCTGATGCCCTCAGCTCCCAGGGTCTAGCACACACTTCCTCCAAGGGACCAAGCTAACGAGGTGCATGCTATTGGTAGCAGTGTTCTAGGCCCTGGGTGTTCCACGGAGAGGGTGCAGATGAGCCCGTGGGGATGCTGGGAGGGGTGCAGTGGGTCTGTGAGGAGACTGAGGAAGCGGAGTTGTGGTTTCCCTTGCTCTGACTTACTAATGTATAAACTCAACCACCATAGGTCTACAGGGAGTGGCTTGCCAGCCTGCCCTGTGTCTGGGAGAGAGGCTACTTTTCAGCATCGACCAGTAGAGGACGTTCAAGGACCATGTGGATGTTTCCTTGTAGATGTTCTGTCCACGTTGGCCCACTCAACAATGGAAACACCAGACCTGAGGATCAGACAGCCTCTGCATATTCATTTTTAAAAAAAGATTCATTTTTTTAATTGGAAAGGCAGATATACAGAGAAGAGTGAATGCTGAGTGAATGCCAACAGGCTGGGCTGGCACTGAACTGCTGTTCCAGGGTTCCCCAGAACAAACACCCCCATATGGAATGGGATGGGCCAGTGGGGGTGGAATGTGGCATGTCTTTGCTAGTGCATCAAAGGAGAAGTTAAGCAAAAATCTTGATTGATATGCAGTGTCCAAACAATCCTTTTTGTCTGTGGTGGCAAGTCTTTTAACTGCTTTCCTATTAAATGGGACCCCAGGGAAAAGGGTGAAGAAAAGAAACAAGACAATGTTTTGATTAAAGAAACTTTGGGTAATCAGAGTCCTGTTCCCAATTTTTTTTTTTGAAATAAAGATAGATCACAACTTAGTATTTTCTTATTGTTGTTTTTTCTTTCAGGGAAGAGGACCAGTATTAGGCAGTTAGTCACATCTCTTATTCCAGTGACTAGGTCCTCAGTCCTAGCTGAACCCCTTTTGGGCATTCAGGCCCAGATGTATCCCTCCATGGTCAGGACAGTGGTTGTTACTTTAGGCTGCCCAAGGGGATGTGAGCTTATAAACATTAAAAAAAACACTTTAAAAAAGTGATGTTTGTATGTTCTGATAATTAAAATTATTTCATGTGATTGTTTTCCTGGAAGAGAAAATATTTGGCTCATGTTCATTAAACACACATAATTAATTTGTTTAGTAAATTCATTACGTTAGTTTTAAGTTCATGATTAGGTTCAGTTCAAGTTTATGTACCAAAGGTGAAATAGAAACATGGGGTCTGGGACCCTCACTGAGGTACACTGGCAGCAGGCAGGACTGGTGCTCCTGACAGGAGATGCCGGCATTGTAAATTGCATCTTCACCTTCTCCATCACAACGCTGCCCTAAGCAAAACAACATTAACAGTGTACACGTGTCTGGGATGTTTCTATAGGTACAAGGCTTGAAGAAGCAGCCTGGTGATTGAGACTTCATTTTGAGCTACAGAAAAATATAGAGATTTGAGGGCTAAAAGAGATGCATGGAGACATATCATGGGGAAGCAAGGGAACGAACTACATGGTGAATAAAGATTTTTTTTTTTTGGGCCCAGCGTGTTAGCCTAACGACAGAAGTCCTCACCTTGTATGCACTGGGATCCCATGTGGGTGCCAGTTTGTGCCCACCAGCACCCCTTCCCATCCAGCTCCCTGCTTGTGGCCTGGGAAAGCAGTTGAAGACAGCCCAAAGACTTGGGATTCTGCACCCGCATGGGAGATCAGGAAGAAGCTCCTGGCTCCTGGTTTCAGATTGGCTTTTGTGGCCACTTGGGGAGTAAATCAATGGGCAGACGATCTTCCTCTCTGTCTCTTCTCCTCTCTGTATATCTGACTTTCCAATAAAAAAAAATACATAGCTCTCTTTCTAATAAGGATAGGTAAAAACAAATCTCCTTTAGCAAAGGGGACATTTATACTTTCTTTTAAAGAGCTAAAGGGATAGTAGGAAACTTTCCTGCATGCGGTAGACTTTTAATTTCTCGTAGATCAAAATAATCAGGATGCCAAAGTGACATATTTTGGCTTGGTCACTTTTTTGTGGTAAAATGCCACCCAGTATCTAACATCACATTGGTGTTGTGTTTCAATAAAAATATTTAAACATGATGGAATTCTCCAAATCTTCAAGATGGAGAATGAGATGTTTCGGTCATGGATCTGTCTGGTGAGACTCCCTGAGGCACGCCTGTTTGCCATTCTCATTCATACTCCATCACAATGTGGGGTGCAGGGGGAGGGAAATGCCAGTGTGCTGATGTTATGAAATCAAAAGCTAGGGCCTGGTGCGATGGTCTAATGGCTAAAGTCCTCGCCTTGAACACCGGGATCACATACGGTCGCCAGTTCTAATCCCACCAGCCCCGCTTCCCATCCAGCTCCCTGCTTGTGGCTTGGGAAAGCAGTCAAGGACAGCCCATAGCGTTGGGACCCTGCACCCGTGTGGGAGACCTAGAGGGTGCTCCTGGATCCTG